TCCACTGCCGGGGGAATTCTCAGGGAAGCCACTGTGTCCTGGGTGCTGCGGTGGACACTCTTTTAAGCCCACGCACCCGCTGGCTTCCCGCTCCTGTTCCCAGAGTACAAAAATAAAGTAGCAGGAAAAAAAAAAAAACACACGTCCCCGGGAGTCCGTCGGTCACTCCCGTCCGAGGCATCCTTTCTGAATGGCCTCGGCGCTCCCATTGTGAGCCGAAACCCCAGCTTCCCAGGGAAATTAGAGCAGTTAATTTAATATCGCGGACATTCGGGGGCTTCTGGGCCTCTTCACGGGCAGGGCAGGATAAATCGGGGCGTATTCAAGATGGATTTTTGTCTCCCAGCTCCCTGCCCTGCATGGCTTCCTTCCCGCATCATCTTGCCCCAGAGTTCAGGGTGCCTTTATCCCACATGCCCTTTGCAGATGCTGACTGGGTGGGGGTGGGGGGAGAGCAGGGAGGGGTGCGTGTGCCAGGGAGACAGCCTTTGAGGCAGGGGAGTGGGCACAGGACCTAGAGCGGGCTTTGTCTGCATGCGGGCCGAGCCCGGGCCCAGCTTCTTTGAACACAAAGACTGCAGAGGTGGCCGGGTGCGAAGGCCCTCGCTGCTGGCCACTGCGGCATGGTGAGAGACTGAGACAGAGACAGGGCCCACCACTACTGTTCTCTCAGCATGCTGTTCCCCTTTCTGCTGTCCTTCTCTGTATGGCTTTGGAACCTGTGTGAGAGTGGACACTGGCTTCCTTGATTCCTCTCCAAGAAGGTCTTTGAACAAACCCCTTTATTTTATTTTATTGTTTTTTTTTTCTTTTTGGGTCACACCCGGCGATGCTCAGGGGTTCCTCCTTGCTCTGCACTTAGGAATGACTCCTGACGGTGCTTGGGGGACCCTATGGGATGCTGGGAATCAATCGAACCCGGGTTGGCTGCATGCAAGGCAAATGCCCTAACCTGCTATACTATCACTCCAGCCCCAAAGCATCATTTTGTTTTGTTTTGTTTTGTTTTATCTTCTGGGGTCATACCTGGTGATGCTCAGGGGCTACTCCTGGCTCTGCACTCAGGATTTACTCCTGGCGGCGTTCAGGGGACCCTATGGGATGCTGGGAATTGAACCCGGGTCGGCCGCATGCAAGGCAAACGCCCTCCCTGCTGTGCTATTGCTCGAGGCCCCAGAACGAACCCTTTCAAAGGCACGATACAAAGCTTTGCCCCGAGAGCACCTCAAGCTACCCCCCTCAAGCCCCAGGAGCAGGTGGTGGATGCAGACACTGGCCTTGCTCTGGAAGTTTCTCCGTGAAATTCAGGAGAGCTCCCAAGGCCAGCAAGCCTCCCCAAGGCCAGCTGGGCATGCCGGCAGCTCCCCTGCCCTTGATGTCATGACTATCCTGAGTGTGTGTGCCTAAGCGGATTCGGAGGCACGGGGGCGGGGGGCGGGGAGAACCCCATCAAAATCAAACATGCATTTGTTGTTGTTGTTGTTTGCTTTTTTGGGTCAACACCCAGCGATGCTCAGGGGTTACTCCTGTCTCATGCACACAGGAATTACTCCTGACTGGTGCTCAGGGGACCCTACGGGATGCTGGGAATCGAACCCGGCTTGGCTACGTGCATGGCAAACGCCCTACCCGCTGTGCTATTGCTCCGGCCCCATAACACGCCTTTGTTTTGTTGGGGGGCCAGGGATGTAGCTTAGAGGCTTGAAACATCAGAGGTGCCGGCACACAACAAATGAACTTTCAGTGGACATGTTGGGCCCACGTGTCAGTTTTCTCTGGCCCGGTGGGATCCCCCAGGAGCCCCATAGACATGTGGGTGGCAGGAAGGATGCAGCTTAGAAACGGCTCTTGGACCGTCCCACAGGACGGCAGCTTCTGTCTGCCGGAAGGAGCGAATGACCATCGCCGATCGCCAAGGCCTCCCAGCTAGAGGCCAGGCGTCAGAGTTAAGGACCTGGATGCATTTCGAAGATTGGAAAAGAGTCCACAGAATGCACCCTCACTCATCACCCTCAATCATCTCAGCCCGGCCGTCCTGATGCCTGATGAGCAGCTGTGGGTTTCCACGTGGGCTGTTGCTCCTGCAGTGTGGCACCCGCTGTGTGGGGGTCTCTGCTCTCACCTCAAAGACTTTCCACCCCTCTCACCTCAGTACCCCCGGGCACCAGAATCAGATCGGAACCCAAGGCGTGTACGGGTTGCTGTTTTGTCAGTTGCTGTTGTTCCAAATCTCTTGGATGTCCTTTGTAACCTCTCTCCACACATTGGTTTCCCCTTTCTCCTCTGGGTTTTTCTTCCCCTGCATTCTACCTTTTCCTGTATAAAATCCTGCATATGTAGAATCTCAAAAAAGAAAAGGAGGGGCTGGAGCGATAGCACAGCTGGGAAAGCGTTTGCCTTGCATGCGGCTGACTCAGGTTCGATTCCCAGCATCCCATAGGGTCCCCCGAGCACCACCAGGAGTAATTCCTGAGTGCAGAGCCAGGAGGAACCCCTGTGCATCGCCAGGTGTGACTCAAAAAGGGGAAAAAAAAGGAAAAAGAAAAAGAATATGGGGCCAGAGAGCTAGTCTAGTGGGGAGAGCGCCTGCCTTGCACGTGGCTAGCCGGGGTTCGATCCCCAGCCTTCCAGAAGGTCGCCCAGACCCTCCAGGACCATTCCCTGAGCTCAAGGCCAGGAGTAATCCCTGAGCACAGCCGGGTGTGACCCCACAAACAGAAAGAGAAAAAGGAAAGGAATAGAAAGAGCATCACAAACTCAGCAAATCAGTGCCCCTGGCAAGGAGCTCTCCAGTGTGACACACGGAGGCAGATGGGCCTCCACAGCCTCCACACTGGGCCTCCCTGACCTGTGCCTCGGACGATGGGGATACTTCCTGACTTTGCTAGTAAATCTCTCTCCCTCCCCCCGTCTCTCTCTCTGTCTCTGTCTTGTCTCTGTCTCTCTCTGTCTCTCTGTCTCTCTCTCTCTGTCTTTCTCTGTCTCTCTCTCTCTCACAAACACACACACACTTTGCTGCATCCAGGACGTTTGCTGGTCAGTCTCTCAGCGCTCCAAACCCTCCTTCCCTGCCCTCCCGCTTCGGCCAGGCTGGGTGGCCTTGGCGTTGGGCGGCTGCAGTTGATTCATCAGCCTCTAAACAATAATAAATCTCGGCCGGCGCCTTAAGAGACGCTCGATGGGGAATTGCCGCGGCCTCCCCACCGCTTACGGGAAATCTCCCGGGGAGGCTCGGCCCGTGTCCGCGGCCCAAGAGGACAGTCGGGGATTCTTGAGCCCCAGAGCACTGGCAAGAACTCCGCAGACCGGGTCCAGGACCTTCCAGAAGAGAGCTTCCTGAGACAGAGCCCGGTCCATGTTTAGGATTTATTCATTCATTTATTTATCTTGTATCCTCAGTATCTGCATCTCAGACCCCTGGGCCAATTCGCCTGTCATGGCAGAGACAGCTAGATCCCCCGCTATGACCCGGCACCTCCCGGAGGCCTTCCCCCCAAGGACACCCCGACTTTGAATTTCCATCCCGCTGCCCGGCTGTAGCCTGGGAAACCCTCCGTGAGGGTCACTGCGTTGTGGCGAGTCTCTCTCCGCGCCCGGCAGGGAGATTGTCGGGTACAAACCCCCGAATCCGGCCAGGGCGGTGGTGGCATCTTTGGGGCACCTGCTACCTGCTCCTTGGATGGCAAAAGAGAGAACAAAGCGTCTGAGGGAGTTCCCCTCCCCTTCCTTCTCTCCTTCTGCCTATCCTCCACCACATACAAGCCTTTTCCATGTGACGGGCATCATTTATCGAAACCAGAGGGGTTCCCGTTGTAAGCACGGGGACTTAAATTGGGGTGTGGTTGTGGCCAAGAGTCCCACCCTGACCTCAGACAGGCTTTGGAGACAGTGTTTGTGCATGTTTGTATGTGTTTGCCTGGCTTCTGCCAACCTGACCCCAGTCCCTCAGAGGGCCAGGGCGTGGACCACTCAGGGCATCCTTTACCAAACCGTTCTTTCCAGCCAGCTAAGATGGAAAGGGAAAATTAAAAAACAAAAAAAGGTAAAAGGGAGTTGTAGAGTAGGTGCATTTAATCCTGCCCAATTTAAATGTAAACAGTCCCATCTTTAAAGCAATACGCTAGTCTCTCTTCTTCCCCGACCCTGTCCAAAAGAAAAAAAAAAAAAGAAAGAAAAGAAAAGAAAAATGAAGAGCATTTCCATCAATGGATTTCTTTAATGTTGATGATGGTTTTGGTGCAGTTTGAGGGAATCTGTATTTAGTCAGAAAAAAAAAAGAAAAAGAAAAAAGCTTCAATAGAATGACCCACCAGATGGGCCCATAACAAAGCACAGAGGCATCAAACCACCACAGACATTTGGTGCTTAGAATAATAAAAAGACTATAAAATTAGATTAGTTGAGTCTAATTTGGAATTGGTATATTCCCTGTGCACCCTCACCGCTCTTGGGCAGATAAAGCCCTGAGATTTAGCGCTGTGTCAGAGCGGGGAGTCGGCAACTTCCAGTAAAAAAAAAAAAAAAAAAAAAAAAAAGGAGCCGCCACCGTGGGGGAAGGCAGGCCGGGGGAGAAAAAGCATTCTGGGAGGCCACGGAGGGCAAGGCAAGTGACCTCCAATGATTTACAGGCCTTTAGCTTAATGAAATTGTTTCACTGGCATGACGGTAAGAGCCCGTAATGGATTGGATGCCCTAATGTAATGAAATTACTCCCTTCTGCCTAAAAAAAAAAAAAAAATGCGCAATTAATATTTACTGAGACCTGCCAGCCTTTGGTGAGCGCGTCTGTGGGTCGCAGCCAGTCGGAGGGATGAGACTGAGCCGAGCAGCGTGGCAGACAGGCTGGCTGTGTGTGAGCTCCCGCCGCCGCCGCTGGGGAGTCAGCCCAGCCTGCCGGGGGCCGGGGAAAGGGACACACCGCGGCGCTCGGGGGACCCCCGCCCCCGGGCCGCCCCCCACGCCACCCTCACGCTCTCTCTCTTCCCGTTTCTTTCCCACAGGCAACTGGACAACAACCACATTGGCTGCATTGAAGATGGAGCCTTCCGCGCCCTGCGTGACCTGGAGATCCTGTGAGTGGCTTTTCGCAATCGCTTAGGCGCGCGCTTGTCTGTGTGTGTCTGTGTGTGTCTGTGTGTGTATGTGTGTGAGCGCGCCGTGCTTCTTGTGCATCTGTGTGTGTGTGAGAGTGTGTGTGTGTGTGTGTGTGTGTGTGTGTGTGTGTGTGTGTCTGGGTGTCTGGGTGAGGAGGAGAGAAAGGGGGAAGGTGGTGTGTGTGTGTGTGTGTGTGTGTGTGTGTGTGTGTGTGCGCGCGCGCGCGCGCGTGCCAGGGGCTCAGCGCCGATGCCTTGCCTCCCGCTGCAGTGCTATTAAAATTGAAACCGGAAGATGAGCTCCTGCTCACCTTGGGCCAAAGTGTTTGTGAGCGGCAAAGTCTCGCCCTCCCGCCAACTGGGGCTCCAGTCCGCTGATTGAGTCGCCTCTCTCTCTGTCTCTCTCTCTCTCTCTCTCTGCGCTCCCCTGGCCGTAGTTGGTGCTGGGGGGCAGCCGATGGGCAGGAAGGGGGACGGCGGGGGGGGGGGAGGAATATTGCACACTCCCAGAGCGGGTGATGGAGTATGGGGGTGGTGGGGTGGGGTACGAGGAGATGTGGGGTGCAGGTCAGGGAGGTGGGAGGGCAGCCAACAGAGCTGGCCAGGGAGGCTCTGTGGAATCGCCCCGAATCAGAAAGATACGGAGGTTACGGGGTTGGGGGGAAGCCTTGCATGGGGGGGAGGGGCAGTCCTTAGGGGGAGTCCCAAACGACCTGCTCAGAGTCCAGTGCTGACCTTCACTCCGGACCCTCTTCTGGGGCTAAATCCAAACTTTCCATGGCAGTGAGGGGCTGGAGGGGGGCTGTGGGGGGGACACAGGCGAGAAGGCGGCTCCTGGCTGGAACCCACACCCGCGCCCCCCACACACACGCACCACCAGTGTGTAGCTGACTCCAGGGGAGCAGAAGCTTGTCGGTCTGTCGGTCGGTCGGTCGCTGACTCTCTCTGGGGCAGAGAGTCTGGCTCGGGAACACTTCCGCCAGGGAAGTGAGTCGGCTGCCAAGTCCTGGCGGGGAGCAGGGGCGCTCGTGCCAACTCAAGTTGACTACGAGAGACAGAGAGAGATAGAGACAGAGAGAAAGAGAGAGATAGAGACAGAGAGAAAGAGTGAGAGAGAGGAAGCGTCATAGCTGTCCTCACCCAAAGCTGTACTTGTCCCTGCTCTGGGGGACAACCCCCCCCCCATGGAAGGCAGAAAAGTCTCGTGAGGACTCGGCGGGGGCGGGGAGCTGCGCGGTACCGGCTCATTAGCTGCGATGACCTTGGGCCAGTCACCCCCAGCTCTGTCTGCGCTTGCTCTGGCCCTTGTCTTTCTCCCTTCAGGATATGGGGGGGAGGGGAGGAGAAGGGGTGTCTGCACCAGCCAGCACCTCTGCCGCCGCTTTGGGGGCTGGCCTCCCCCTGTCATGTCGTGTGGTGACTCCCGGGTTCCAGAGCCGTTGTCGTATGGCCACTCTTGACTGTGAGTGACAGGGACCACGGGGTCACGGAACTGTGTCTGTAGAAGAAGTCTGAGCAGTGGGGGCCACCCACGGGGGCAGGGGGCTGTCTGGGGGTCCCCTCAACCTTTGGGGATGAAGGGAATGCAGTCCTCCTCCTCCTCCTCTTCTTCCTCCACCTCTTCCTCCTCTTCTTCCTCTTCCTGCCTCTGCCCCTGGCCTCGCAGACCCTAGCACAGGGCCGTGAAGGAAGGAGACCCCAAGAGGAACAGCAGGGAAGAAAGGACTGGGCGGGACCCCCAGCTAGCACCTTGAAGACAGGGGGTCCTCCTCCCTCAGATTCTCACACCCCCACCCCCACCCCAGCCAGCCGGCCTGTGACAAATGCTCCCTGTGGTCTCAAACAGCTGCCCCACCCATAGGGGCTGGAGCAATAGTCCAGGGGGTCGGCTGCTGGCCTGACACATTCCCTGATACCCCAGATGGCCCCCCAAGTCCCGTCAGGAATGAGCCCCAAGCACAGAGCCAGGAGTCGGCCCTGAGCACTGCCGGAGTGGCCCAGACCCAAACAGTGAGAAGGCCGGCAGGGCGTGGTTCTGCCCCGAGTTCAGGAAGTGCTGCCGCCGAGATCCAGAGAACTGCTCTGGAAAAGACCAGAACACGGGGCAGCTGGGGAGCTTTGGGGCCCACTGACCCCCTCCCCGACAGGCAGCCACAGGGGGTGGGGTGGGGGGTGTGGAGCCCCCAAGGCCGGGCTGCTCAGTCTCTCCCCGTGGCCACGTCCTGGGTGGTCGTCTGGGTGTGGACCCTGCACAGTCTTAGGTGTGTCCACACTCGATCCTCAGCCCCCAAGGTGAACTGGGATCGCGGCCCTCAGGCCCTCGAGTCCAAGGGCCAACTTAAAGCCTCCAACCCCCTGCGGACAGGAGTCAGGCTGGTTCTCCCCAGCCCACGGGGATCAGCTTCCCAACACAGCCCCGGCCGGTGGCTGTCTCTCTCTGAAAGACACTCTTCTTCTGTGACTCCACGTGGCTCAGCGCTTAGAAATTAATCATGATCCGTTTTTTTTTTTTTCTTTCTTTCCCCCGTGGGTTTTTTAATTTCCAGCGGAGCCAGGCAGGCTCTGGAACCATCCTTCATCTTCAGGGTGTGCCAGTCCCGAAATTAGCCGGGGCTGATGTCTCCATTTAAAGAAACCCCCCAGTTGTACCCCCCTCCATCCCAGCCCACCCCAGCCCACCCCACGGGGGTCTCCCACAGCCCCAGTGCCATGCTGGCCTCCGAAGATGGGGGACTTCTCTGAGCTGATATGAAGCACCCTGACGGAGTCTGGGCAGGGAAGTAACGTGTGGCGAGGGAGCAAGGGCACCCCATTAACTTAGTCCTGCGGAGGCAGGCCGAGAGATAGAGAGAGAGAGAGAGAGAGAGAGAGAGAGAGAGAGAGAGAGAGAGAGACTAGAAACCCGGGGGGGGGGGGGGAAGGTCACGCCCATCTCACTCACCAAATGAGCCGAGCTGGACGAAAGGAACTTTTTTTGTTTGTTGGTTTGTTTTGGGTTTGGGTTTCGCTCATGTTTGGAGGCGGGGAGGGTACACTTAGCCGTGCTCCCAAGCTGCTCCCAGCTCTGTGCTCAGGAGTCCCTCCCAGGGACTGCCGGGGAGATGGGGGACCGTGGGCAGTGCCAGGGATTGAACCCAGGGCCTCCCGCATACGAAGTCAGCCGAGAGCTCACTCTCTCTCTCTCTCTCTCTCTTGCTCTCTCCTCTCTCTCGCTCTCTCTCACTCTCACCCTCTCTTTCTTTCTCTTTTTCTCCCTCTCACTCGCTCGCTCACTCTCGCTCTTGCTCTCTCTCTATCCCCGGTTCCATGGAGGGGAAGTCTAGCCACCTACCGCCAGGAGGAGGCGGCGATGGGTGGCCCCCGGGGTCCCCCTGTTCCCCTCTTTTCTGCAGCCGGAAACGCCCAAGGCCAGCCTGAGGAGTTAGGTTGCATGGGGGCTTACAAGATGCCCCTGGGAGCCGCCCGCCCACCCACCCGCGGCTGGCGGTGAGGAGAAGGACCAGTACAGAGCAGGGACCAACCGGGGCTGAGGGCTGAATCCTGCCCTCTCTCACCCCATCACCCCACCTCGCTTTGGGTCCCTGCAGAAATGGGTGTGCCGGGAAACACGGCAGGAAAAAAAAAAGACCTTTTGGGCTGGGTCCTGCCTCCCCGGGACCTCATAGCCTGGACCCCCGGGCGCCCATACCAGAGATGCTGACCTGTGGCTCCACCTTGCCCTGGCCCTGAGCGACTCAGCTCCCGGACTCAGCAGAGCAGGACCAGCATCCCCAAGAACTGGTGGGGGATGTGGGGAGGACCAGCAGGAGCAGCCCCGGCACCGTTACGGAGGAGAGCAGAGTCTCCCCGTGGGCGCCAGTTTCTGCCGGGGTTTAGTTCTGGTTTCCCAGCATCACCAGTGGGCTCGGACACTCGAGACCATGAGGGCTTCGCTGCCCCAGTCTCCCCTTCACAGAGCGTCCTCTTGGCCTCCCTGGGTTGCCCACAAGCCCAGCGCCGCCTCCTTCCTTCAAGACTGTTCTCTCGGCCGTGCGATTCGGGGCCTCAGGGCCTCTGCCTGGACTCTGCCCATCCCACAGCCAGATACGCCCCCCACGGTCCGCAGACACCCGGCATGCTCTGCGCCTTGGCTTTGTTATTGTTGCTGTTGTTTTGTTGTGTTGTGTTGTTGTGTTGGGGGGAGGCCACACCCAGCCATGCTCAGGGATGACTCCCGGCTCTGTGCTCAGGACTCACTCCCGGCTCTGTGCTCAGGGCTGACTCCCAGCTCTGTGCTCAGGGCTCATTCCCGGCTCTGCGCTCAGGGCTCACTCCTGGCCCTGCACTCAGGATTCTTCCCGGCTCTGTGCTCAAGGCCCACTTCTGACTCTCTACTCAGGGCTCACTCCTGGCTCTGGACTCAGGGATGACTCCCGGTAGGGCTCAGGTGGGGACAGAGGGGGGAACCCTATGGGATGCCAGGGATCAAACACAGGTTGACTGCACACAAGGCAAGCGCCCTCCCCACTGGACGATCTCTCCCGTCCCTGAGCTTTGCATATTCAGCCCCGGCCAGCTCGCCTGAGCACGGCCAAGCCCTTTCCGCAGTGAGACTGGGTCCCTCGCCGACCCAGCACGCCGGCCTGAAAAGTGTCTAATGAACAAGGGATCGGGGAGGCTGGACAGAGGAGGCCTCAGGGAGAGCCCCTGGTCACTGCACAGCTCTGCCTGCTCCAGCGCCGTGGGGGGCCCGAGTTTCAGACACAGTGTACCAGCATTGTCTCCCGACTCTGCATCACCAATCAGAGGTCCTGTAAAATACTGCCGTCAGCAGTGCCGGGCACAGAACACACGGATGTTCTTCTGTGTGTTTCCGACGAGGGGTCTGCCCTCGATCACCCTCAAGGCCCGGCCTACTCTGTTGCAGACTGTCCAGCAAGGCTGCCCTGACAGTCTTGCTGACGGCGATCCCATGCCGTTCACCAGTCCAGGGACCGCAG